AACTAGACTCCTATGAAGGCTTATGTTACAACATCTATTGCTCAGCTGGTCTCAAAGGTGCTACAAGACAGCAATAGCATTTGCATTTCTATACTGCTTCATCGTGAACTCAGCAGTCTCTAAGCAGTTTGTAGTCTGCAAACCAATTGCCCCCAACGAGCTGGGTACCCATTTTACAGACCTACGAAAGGATGGAAGGCCGAGTCAACCTTGGAGCCCTGCAGGATCGAACTCACAACATTGTGGCTGCATTTAGGACCAGCATTTAACCACTGCACCATCAGTGCTCCATGGGAACTGTATTAAGATAAGTATGATCTTCTCCCTTTGTACACTAATATTTATCTTAATACACTTCCCACGGTAGAAGTATTTTGAGGTGGCTTGATCTTGAATGAGCAAGACCCGTTAGCTTCAGGCTTGCTGCTGGTAGAGAAGTCATCTTCCTTTTCAAAGTCTCCTTGCTATAGGGATGTTGATGTTGCTCTAGGGCAGTGATGACGAACCTTTTAGGGATCGAGTCCCCAAACTGCAACCCAAAACTCACTTATTTATTGCAAAGCAATAAACCCTCTGGTAACGAATACTAAAAACTCTGTGCTGGGGCGACAGCGCGCATGCCAGCAGAGAGGGCTCTGAGTGCCACCTCTGGCACGCGTGCCATGGGTTCGCCGCTACCGCTGTAGGTACTGTCATAATGAAGGTTTGCACATCAAAATGTACCAATACACCACTGGCATGGATTATTAAACAGCGAAAGTCCTGGATGGGTCATTGGTGCCTTTATGACCAATGTGCGTCCCCTGCTCTCTCTGTGTGCGGGGAGGGAAAGAGCAAGAAGAGAGTGACTAGCTTCCCAAAGGGAAAAGATGCCAGAGATGCTTTTGTCCACATTGTCCAAAAGTGAAACACGCAAACAAAAGTGAAAGGGTTTCAAGTCTGGTTTTCATGCCAGAGGCGAGATCTCTCATGGGTAACTTGAGAATCCTCCATGGGCTCTCTTGAAATGACTTGAAAGCCCGTCTCAAGAAATGAGGCACTAGTCAAACTTCTCCCCATCCCTATGTGGAAATAGACTTTCTGCACCTACTCATTCCTACTTTACGGTGGGCTGAAGAACCCGAGGTCCACAGGCTGACTGTGGCTGCCAACTTTTAGTGTGAACAACTGAATAATTTCTGCATGCCTCCAGGAGTTGCAACTCCACTTTAAAAACAAGCTGCAGGTTTTTGATTCCAGCAGTCTGTGACCTATTCTGCACTGTGGAAATAATGCAGTTTGACATCACTTTAACGGTGATGGTTCAATGCTATGGAATTCTGGGATTTGTAGTTTTGTAAGCTATTTAGCCTTCTCTGTCCGAGAGCTCTGGTGCCACAAAAAACTTCAGTCCCAGAATCCTGAGCCATTACAGTTAAGAATCCCATAGCACTGAGCCATTACAGTTAAAGTGGTTTCAATCTGCATTATTTCTGCAGTGCAGATGCAGCCTGGTCTTGTTTTCCCCAACTCTCCAAAGGGGTTTACAAAACTCGAAATCTCCCATTCTCCTGAAACGGTTTGAAAAACTAGTGACTTATAGTTTTACCGGGGGGGGGGGGTTGCTGATATGACCTGAGGAGGCTCCAAGACCTCTGAAGCTTACCCATTCCTTCCTTATGCAAACAAATGAAAATGTTGGAACTTATTACAACATTATTAATATTAATTTAATTAATTAATTATTATTAATGTTGGAACTTATTACAACCCAAGCCTTTCTCAGCTAATAACCTAACAGAAAAAGAGAACACCAGATGATTAAGCAGTAATTGGAAGAGGAGGAGGATGCCAAAATTAAAAACCATTATCGTAAGCTAGCTGAAAGTGATACATCACAAGACTTTTTTTTAATGTGGAGGAGAATCAGTGAACTGGATATCAATTAGCAACACTTTCTCTAAATAAGGAACATAAATTAGGCTGGGGAAAATAGAAAGATGCTAAAGAGCAACTGGGAATGAAATATAAGGTGTAATGAGCAGGAGGGAACCAGCAGAATGCAAAACCCAGAAGGCAAATACAATGGGCCCTCCACATTTACTGGGGTTAAGGGTGCAAGACCCTCATGAAAGTGAAAAAAATGCAAATAAAAAAAAACACTACGGTACTTTTTTTTTTTTTACCCGAGAAAACACCTCTCTATGGTCAACTTCCAGCAGAGAGTCACTTCTTGGAGGACCTAAAAATGCCTAGAGAAGTGTTCTCTCTAGGGATCTCATAGAGTGACACTGGAGGACCTAGAGATTCTAGAGAGAATGTATCAATCAAATCTGCGAATCCAATAATCAAATCCGCAAAAGCAAAAGCCACAAATGTGGAGGGCAGGCTGGACACAGAAATCAGAGCTGGAAGATATGTAAGTATGAGAGAAACTGGTGGCCTGCATGCCAGTGGGGTGGTAAATCTGCTCTGTGTTTTAGGTTGGGCTTTCAAGAAGCCATTTGAGGTGTTGAGTCCTATTCCCCCAAATAGATTCAGTACCTTGGATAGTCCTGGGGACAGGAGACTGCAAACACAGGAGAACAGCAAAGTGAGAAGCTATGCATGCAGCTGGGAAATACTTTCTTGAAATACAGTCTGCAAGTTGGATGGGGCTGAGTCAGTGTGTGTCAGGATATGAGGCTTGGGCAGCCTGAATATTATTATTATTATTATTATTATTATTATTATTATTATTATTATTATTTGTATCCCGCCTCTCCCTGTCGAGGATCGAGGCAGGTAACAGCAAATATTAAAACAATTACAGAAATAATAACAAGAAAATAATCCCCAACACCCCCCCACACCTCTTCGACCCACACTCCCTTCGATATAGAATTACAACAATAAAATCCCTATTACTAAAAACAGTTAATAACAGTGGTAATGCCTAGGGGAGCTAGATCAGATGGGCAGTTAGTTCAGATCAGGACCGAGGTCAGTCTGGGAAGCCACGCCGGACGAGAATCGTTTTTTAATCGCTTTTTCAAAAGCGCCAAGGGATGTAATCTGGCGAGTCTCCTCCAGCAGGATTTCAAGGGGCCAGGGCCATGGATGGCAGATTTGGTGCAGAATCTTCTGTCCTGATGGTGGAACAAATACAAATGCACATCTTCATGCGCAGTATACGCCAATGTTCAGCTGTGTGTAATGCACACCCATGCCCCGTGTGCAGCCCTGTGCAACTTTGCTTTTGTAATCTTGAACTGACTAGAGCCATCCTGCATTGGACAAAAATGTCCAAGCAGTTCCAGAGGGAGTCTTGTTCTTGTGTAAGATACAACAGGGTTCCAGCCAAGGTGTTGCAGATCAAAAGCTGGAAGGCCACCATTGCTAACCATAGCAACTTCATAGAATCATAGAATCATAGAATCCTAGAGTTGGAAGAGACCACAAGGGCCTTCCAGTCCAACCCCCTGCCATGCAGGAACTCCCAATCAAAGCATCCCCGACAGATGGCCATCCAGCCTCTGCTTAAAGACCTCCAGGGAAGGAGACTCCACCAAAATCTCCATTGAGGGTTCCACTGTCGAACCGCCCTTACTGTCAGGAAGTTCCTCCTAATGTTGAGGTGGAATCTCTTTTCTTGCAGCTTGCATCCATTGTTTCGGGTCCTAGTCTCTGGAGCAGGCACCTCCTTCTGCCTAACAGTAGAGCCGGCCCTCCATCCAAGCATTCTAAGAATGCTGACCGAAAAGGTTTTCTTTTTTTTTCTTTTCCTTTTTTAAACATTGAAGCTGAATAGCTAATGTTGGTTTCCCCCAATTACTGCTCCAACTAAATGTGGTTGCTTCTTATCTGACCACACTCCTGCTTGCTCACACTTATAGCGGTTGTTTCCCCACTTGTAGATGTCAAGCACTGGAAAATTGGAGAACGCACGTGGCTCCTTCTTTTTTGTGACAGCTAGCGATAAAAATGCTAATAAAGCTGTCTTTTCCTCCTCCTTTTTTCGTGAAGGTAATAGCTTCATTTTTATTCAGCCATAGAGAAAATATTCGCTGCTGCTTCACAAAGGATGTTTTTTATATATATATAAAATTTCATTTTATAAAATAAATAATATATTTTATAAGAAGGAGGTGAGGACAGATTGTCTCTTTGAGCGACACTTTGTTTTTCGCACTTTCTTTGACTTCTTTGAAACCTTTTTTGCCTTTGCAGCCGAGGTAGAAAGCAAGGATGATGGTGGAGAGGGATGGGAGAGAGACTTAAGAATGGAAGGCTTTTTGGGGAGGCTTGAAAATGGAAATCTAAATATAGGACATTTCTAAATGGGTGCTTTGCTGATATTCTACTGATATTCTGCCGCCTTTCCCCTTCAGCAGGCAGTTATGTTTGCGATAAGACTCTTGGGCAATTGCTTTTGCTCAGTACTGTGACTAGTTGCGAAAAGATGTTGGCTGCGATTCTGCATCACTACAATAGTGGAACTCCATTTGTAGCAATATCTGACCCAACTCCCTAACTTTTCAGATCTTTGGAGACCAGGGTTCAGTTCCCCACTCGGCCGTGAAACCCACCAGCTGACCTTAGGCAAGTCACATACTCTCAGCCTCGGGAAGGCAATGGCAAACCTCCTATGAACAAATCTTTACCCAAAAAAATCCCATGACAGGGTTGCCTCTGTGTGTGTGTGTGTTGTGTGTCGTGTGCTGTGTGCTTTCGAGTTATTTCTGACTTATGGTGACCCTAAGGCGGAACTGTCATAGGGTTTTCTTGGCAAGATTTGTTCAGAGGAGCTTTGCCATTGCCTTCAGAGCTGTCTGACAGTGGAACACACTCCCTTGGAAGGTGATGGAGTCTCCTTCTTTGGAGGTCTTTAAACAGAGGCTGGATGGCCATCTGTCGGGAATGCTTTGATTGTGAATTCCTGCATGGCAGAATGGGGTTGGACTGGATGGCCCTTGAAGTCCCATCCAATTCTATGATTCCCTTGAGGCTGAGAGACTTGCCCAGGGTCACCCAGGGTTTAGTGGCTGAGTGGGGATTCGAATCCTGGCCTCCAGAGTCACAGTCCATCATCCAAACCACTATGCCACGCTGGCTCTCTGGGGTTGCCTTAGGGTTGCCATAAGTCAGAAATGACTTGAAGGCATGCAACCACAACCACAAAATGTCCAAACTGAAGGGTTTCTAAGGAGCTTCAGAACAGCATGCTGGGATGTCACATCCGTAGTGTTCTCCTGATTGTGGGGAATGTTGAGAAAAGGCAATTGGAGAGATCCCTAGGGATCCTGCCACAACTGCTTGTTCCAATGTGCCCCATAACTGGGAGTGCGCTACAGATCTCATTTCCCAGTGCCACCCTTTGGTTGGGGCACTGTCTGGTTGAAAAGTTAGTCTTTTGGGGTCACAGCAGTCATTAATAACTACAAATGTGGATCATAAAAGTTACGAGATCATAAGTCTGGTTGATGAGCTCCTAAATATTGAACAGGATGCCATCTGGGTGTGTATGTCAGTGTCTTGCCTTTCTTGGTGCAATAATCTCTTTCGTGGTCTGCAGCCTCCCTGGCTTTGCACACATCAGTGACAGTCCAGTGGAAGATGTCTTGAGATAATTCCTGCCATTGACCTTTTTTTTTTTTTTAGATTGGACCATAAACATGAATCTCTAAAGGTACAAGACTGTAAATCCAGTTTAGACTCTCGTAACTACTGAATAATGTGTCGGCCATTGTAACAGAGAAACATTGGTCTATTGCAGTGCTGTACTCCCGCTGGCTCCTGTTCACCAGTTCCTGGAACAATATGAACATGTTTTCTCCTTCCACTTTAGTTCCATGTATCATGGCCTGTGATTTAAATATATTTACAGCTATTGCAACCAACAAGGTTAAGTGAACTAACAGTGCAATGGTGTTATGTTCACCTTCTTGGACATTTTAGATATGGGGAAAAAAGTATAAAACGGTTAATACCACATGGGATAAATTCATTGAAAACACAGAAAAAAGATGTCCCTTTAATAATAATAATTATAATAATAATAATAATATTTATTTATATACCGCCCGGTGGCGAACCAATCCAGAAGAGGTCTCAGAATGCTCCACTCCCATTCAATTGGAAAAGTGTTTCTGGATTTTCTTGAGCATTTTAAATACATGCATGGAAGGGAAAGCTCCCAAGAGGATCTTTGAGTGTGATTGCATACACAGGGAATATTTGCTAGAATTAATAAAGCAAACTTCAATATGAGACAGTGTCGCCATTTTCACAGTTGTCACACAGGACATCATTGATTCATCCATAAAGAGTAAAGAAAGATTTCGTGACAAAGGAACATTACAGTAGCCTCTGGGATTGTCCCTGAGGGTTTTGCTCTTCTGGGTGAATCCAATTCCCAAACAGGGGTTTCAATCTAATCTGGACTTTGTACATTGTCGAGACTACTGCTGCTTTCATTGCTTTTCATCTTGGTGGGCTTCCATGTCAGTGAGGTGGTGAAACAACTATAGGTTTACATTTGAACATTGAAGGTGCAGCACAACACTACAATAGGTCTGGTATCCTTAAGTTTGTACTAAAACCCAAAACAGATTCACTACCATCAAGCCATCAACCACCACTGGTTGTCCTATGCCAGTATGGAAAACAGATTTCCTTCCAAAATCCTTGCATGTCTCTCCTGTTCCTTGGCTCCTTCGAGTCAACCAACTCCTATGATTCAAACTATTACATTATGGCCTAAAGATCTACATTAGTATAAGCTGATCATGTCTCCAAAAATTACATTCTCTCTAAGTTAATGTTTGTACAACACATGTTCTTGCATGGCTAAAGCAGTAAGATCGTCAGATCATTGAATGATGGATGAGGAACATTTAATCTTTCCAATCTTGGAATCTAAATTTTTCAGCTACCATAAAAACATGCACAATATGACCACGTTAACTGTAGCGATATACTTTAGAAGTACATATAGGTTTATAAATACCAAGAAGTTTCTAATACAAAAATGAATACATTGTCAAACATCCAAACAAAATGGGGCAACCACTGGATATGCTCACATTAAATGCCACAATGAAGAATTATCTATATTACATAGTCAACATTTAGCTAAAGTAGATAGTTTCTTTTTGAAAAAAATGTAATTGTGTCCAGTATCGCTAAGACAACATGTATTTATTTATTTATTTTGTTCCCAAATGCAGTTTTAGGTCTATCTAAAGAGAGTTTAAATATTGATGCAGTGGCACTTTTCCATAGATTGATTTGCCCAAAATAATCTGACTCTTTTCCCCATTCTGTTCTGACTTCTTTGAAATCACATTTCATATTGTCCAGCAGACGTTTATAAACTAGACTTGTTGATTTCAGTTTCTCTTCAGATATAGTGAATGCTTCCAACAGAGCGAGAATAGCTGAGGCCCTCAAAGCTGATGGTTCATATACAGACACCAAATGTCTTGCTATTGTAAATATTGCCATACTGCACCAAAGAGAACAGTTGCAAATAGAACAGGTCTAGGGGGATCAATGATTTTCAGAACCTCATTCTCCGCATTGCTAAAAAATTGGGGACTGAAGGAAAATTTCATTTGAGGAGCAGAATTTTTATTTGGGTAGCAATGCCCTTATTTTGCCTACTCCCACCATAGCCAGGATTGGAGAATATGCTTTGGACCATGAGTCAGTGTAGTGCAGTGGTTTGGGTGTTGAACTACAACTCTCGAGACTAGGGTTCAGCTCAGCCATGAAACCCAATGGGTGACCTTGGGCAAATCACACTCTCTCAGCCTCAGAGGATGGCAATGGCAACCCCCGTCTGAAGAAACTTGCCAAGAAAAACCCATGATAGGTTTGTATCAGGGTCAACACAAATCAGACTTGAAAGCACATAGCAACAACAACAAAGTGCTTTGGAGCCCAGGCCAATGGTCCATGGCCTTCATTTTTTAAAAAAGCAACTATGTAAACGTTGTTATTTTAGTTACTGGTGAGAAACAAAAAAGTAAAGACAGTAAGAGTTGAGGACTGTTGGAAACTAATAATGGAAACTTACTCTATATACTCATGTACAAGTCTAGAAATTTTAGTCAAAAAATTGACCCAAGAAATCCAAGTCGACTTACCCTCGGGTGAATGTAAGTACTGTACTTTAACTCTCATAAAAATAGAAACCGTCTCCTGGTGAAATGCAAGACTGTAATCTGTCCTGGAAGCACTGACATCCCTCTACTCTTTCATCCATCCATCCATCCTTCAGTGTGAACACAAAACTACTCTGCCTCCTGCAGTTTTGTAAATTCTTTGGCATTGTTTTCTTTGGCTTCATCCTTTAGATCACTGATTCCCAAAATTTGGTCCTCCAAGTGTTTGGGACTTCAATTCCCAGGAGTCCCAGCCAGCTGGGCTAGCAGTCAGGAATATTGGGAGCTGAAGTCCAAAACATCTGGAGGACCAAAGTTTGGGAACCACTGCTTTAGATCCTTTGTTACATGACCCTGAGTCTTACCCTCGACGTATCCGCGGGTCATATCAAAATCCATAATTTTGGCGCTAAAACTTGCCTTCGACTTGTACATGAGATCCACTTATGGTCGAGTATATACGATAATTCTTTTTGCAAAAGGAGCTTTCCAAGCTCTGGGTTTTTCAAATGCATGGTTAAGGTTTGCAATACACGTTTGTCCTCTGCAAAACGCTACACAGAAACAAGTGAGTATAAAGTACCCATTGTTCTATTGACATTGCAGTCTTCTTAAGGCTCTGTAATTCGCTTCCTCTTGCAGAAGCTGGAAAAAAGAATTTCCCGTTAAGGAAGGTATTTAGTCTGTAAGAGCAAATTGCTCCTTTTAATCTCCATCTACTTCAGTTGCTGCTATTTTTTGCTGCCGTTTTAAAAATGCATTTTAATACTCTGTGTTTCTAGGGTACGTTGAAAGAATGTGCTTAGTACTTAGGTTTTGTTGCTGAGGATGGTGAAAGGACTCATAATTTTTAATCAAATTAGCTTCTCTGAACTTCTGGAAGAAAAGACAGGGCATATATTGTTTTAAATATGTGAAGAATGTGGAGCTAAGCATTTAAGAGGTAATGCCTTCTCTTCTAAAGTTGCCATTCATAAAGGAAAAAGGAAGAAGGAAAAAGGAAGGGGGAAATGTTGCGGTACCTTTCACTGGTTTGTATTTTTGCATGAGCTTTTGTGGATCTAAATCTGCTTCTTTGGATGCAGTATCCATGGATATTGCATAAAATGTAGGTATATCCATAGTATTGCTGAGTATTTAATAACATTATGCCCATTGCTGATCCTATTGCATTGCTCCCTGGTTCTCAAATCCATAACCATTCATTAAAAATGGTGGTAGAGAAAACAATTTAACATGGTTAATATCATGTGCATCTCCCTTTTCTTTCAAAAACTGTGACTTAATTTGGGTCTATATCTTCTCAGTATGTCATTACTAAAATACTTTTTCCACCCACTCTCCGAAGAGTCAGAATGTTAAATTCAATTGAGTTTTTAATTGAATACAAAATAAATGATAAGAATAAATGAAGAGGCTGGCTAGATCAGGCCAGAGTTCACTCCACTCATCCAACATTTTCCTTTCTCCAGCAAAAGCCAGAGAAATGCATCTAGTAGGGAACAAATGCAGGAACCACCTCTGACACTTAGACCCCACTTCCATCCCCATCATCCTCTGGCAGAACAGGAATGTAAATGCACGAAAGAAGGAATGGTTTAGAAAGTTTTCTTTCCATAAGGTGAGATCACGAGAGTTTTTTGCACACTTTTGTTGTTGTGTGCCTTCAAGTCTCTTCCAACTTACGGCGACCCTAAGGGGTTTTCTTGGCAGGTTTCTTCAGAGGGGGTTTGCCATGGCCATC